ATATGTATTTTTAGTTTTCCAGCTAATATCTTTCTATTTTTTTAGTAGAGACAGGGTCTTGCTCTTGCTCAGGAAATAAGCATATCCTGAGCTCAAACTCCCGAGCCCAAACGATCCTCCAGCCTCGGCCTCCCAGAGTGCTGGGATTACAGGCGTGAGCCACCACGCCCAGCCCTATTTATTTTTCTAACCTTAATTTTGTAGATTCCTTCTGTGTTTCTCAAAGACACACAGATCATAATGAGAATGTGTGTCACTCCTACTTATAGTTGCACAAAACACCATCAGGACCATAGTGTCCCAATAATTCCAGTCTTTATACCACAGTCAGAAAGATTATTTTTCCTAAAAACCCATGAAATCCTCTTTCCAAATGTTTTCCAGTACAAAAAGAGAAATTATTGCTTGTAAATTTCCACAGTTGTATCACTTACTAATCACAACAGCGAAGGGAGAGTCAGCATACAACCACTCTTGGTACCCTCTATATTTATAAAGGTTCCAGTGTCAAGAACAGAGAACTACACACACCATTAATGAGGAAAAACCAAGAAAATGATCTTGTAAAGAATTTTTACACAAACCTAAAAAAACAACAAACAATGACAGTAACACCACAATGTTTAGGGAGGAAATTTTGAGACACAACTTCAAACAGAGGCTTTCTAAAACTTCACCAGTTACGATGAAAATCATCCCAAAATGTAACACTCCCTTCTGATTTTAAAACCAATGTTTTACAAAGTGTGTTCAGAGATCCACATGCACCCAGATTTGTTCCAAAATGAACATCACTAGGACCCACCTTTAAATTATTATTTTTTTTTTTTCAGTGGTGGGATCATAGTTCACTATAACATCCAACTTCTGGGCTCAAGCAATACTCCCACCTCAGCCTCCTAAGTAGGCAGGACTATAGGAGTGCACCACCACATCTGGCTAATTTAAAAACAATTTTTGTTTAAAGATGGGGTCTTGCTATTTTGCCCAGGCTGGTCTCAAACTCCTGGCCTCAAGTGATCCTCCCACCTCTACCACCCAATGAGCTAGAATTAACAGGTGTGTAGCCACCACACGCTGCCCCCACCTTAAAATTCTAGAGTGGAGCCCAGGAATCCACCTGTTTATACTTAGAGCCAATTATTAATAACTCAGGGAATAAACAGAAAAATATAGCATGTTCCTGGTGGTGCAGGATTCTGCATTAAGAGCATCAACTGCTGCTGTACTATGCCTAATGATAATAATCTCAGAGGTTAGTGAAGTCTTCAAGCTATTTGCCTTCATCTTGTGAAGCAACATAATGCTAAGATTTTGAGCTCTTGCAACACTTGTTTCCCACCTCCTTCCTTATCAAAAGTAGCCCTTTCCTCCTTGTCATCTGTTAGAAGACACACTTGCCCCAGTTCAAAACAGAGTCTGAGACCAGAATTTTGTCTTAAGTATAAAATGGCTCTAAATGAAGGCCTGAGAGGCCTGATTACGTGCACCACACCTCCGTGTGGCCAACCTCTTTGTGATGGCTATGGTGGTGGCTCAGATGCGTTTTTGGGTGAACTTCCCAATCCTAAGCCATGCTCCACAGTGTCTAGTACATATCAGACATGCACAAATATCTGCTGAATGATGAATGACCAGGTGAGGTATAATTACATAATGGCTTACCAGTCTTTCACTCTGGGAAAAACCGATTATCATTTGCTACTTACACTAACAAACTGAATGTCATCTTCATTTTCCTCTGTTGTTGATTCAGATGCCTCAGGCCCAGTTGGAGGGGCAGATTCTATTATCTATAAAAATAAGCCAAAACATGCTTATCTATTAAGCCACGTACTTGTAGGAAGAGATTTTTTTTTTCCCCAAAAGGAACGATTAAAACAAAGGCTCTCGAGGAAAACTAACCGAGGGCAATTCCACGCAAATCCCACTAAGAACAGAACTCGATGGAGCCCGATTTTGCCACGGCGTACGTGGAGCTGCAGAGAGACCGAACGTTCAAAACGAGTCACCAGCCTCTCAGAATTCCCCTACCTACTCCAGAAGGAGGGGTGCAAGCTCATTACTGCGAAGGGCAATCCTGTCTTAAAATGTCGCTCCCACTGGCAGAGCGGCGGCAACAAGGAACGCCGGGGCCCGTGCGGGGGGTCGGGGACGGCCGGGCGGCCATTGTTGCTGCTGGTTCCTCGCTCAGACACGCACCAGGCCCGAAAGCTGGGCTCGACCCAAGACGCCCAAGAGGTATCGCCCCGAGGCCGCGGCCGAGCACTTAGGCCTCAGACCGCAGAAAACACGAAACTCTTCGTGGCTCGACCCTGAGAACGCCAGGCCCAACGCTCGACTACTCACCTCCGGCCCCGGGTCTCCCATTTCTCCGACGGCCTAACTGACAGCACCACCGCTCCTGCTGTCTCCGCCGCCGTCGCTGCTGTCCCTGTCGCCGGCGCGACTCCTCCTCCCGCCCGTGCGTGACCGCTGATGAACCGACAACTCAGGCGGAACTAGGTGCAAAACCGCTTCAAAAGGAAAAGCTGTCCTCACTGGCCCAGTAGCCCCCAAGCCCCTTTCTCTCACTCCTCGCCTACAGTCCCTGCGCCGCTCAGCATGCTGGGAATTGTAGTGCCGGTCGGCCGCGAGACCACCCCCGCATAGATCGAGGGAGGGGCTCTGAGCTACGGCGCATGCGTCCTTCCTGGCCATTGCTCTACTAAAATAGAAGAGTTGACCTTTCTCTCTCTTTTTACACCCAGATGTTGGTCTATAGAGCAATGATGTTAAAATGCTTTTTTTATGGTTTGCTCAGATATTGCCTTACCAAAATTATGGCCCACCTTTTTCTATTGAATATTTATATGCAAATGCTTGTAAACAGATGCAAATTATGAAAACATTTTAATTGAGAACATTCTTTTAAAGGTTTTTTTTTAGACCTATCAGCCTAAGACCACCTGTAGTTGGCAGGTCTGTAGTCCTCGAAACTCACTTTTATCATTCTGTCCCTGACCTACAATGAGCAAGATCACACAGCAGGGAACTGTGGAGGCATCTCGCCATACAAAGGAAAAAATAGTTATTATAATAAGTTTTTTTGTTTGTGTTTGTTTTGTTTTGTTTCGCTTTTGAGACAGAGTCTGGCTGCCTCGCCCCTAGTAAAGTGCAGAGGCTCATCATAGCTCACAGCAACCTCAGACTCCAGAGCTCAAGAGATCCTCCTGCCTCAGTCTCTCCAGTAGCTGGGACTACAAGCGCCTGCCACTACATCCCGCTTATTTTTAAGGAAGGGTAGAAGCTAGGTGAAATTTAAGTGAAGCAGTGGTTTCACAGATTCAAAGTCAATTAGGGCTGTGTGTAAAGGGTTCAATATCATGTATGGACTGCAAAATGGACCCAGGATCTTGCTGAGAACTACAAAGTTAACATAGACACAGGAATGCTGTGTTCAGAAAGGCCTTCCTTATGTGTAGCTATCTGTGCACTAGGGTTGGAATGTGAAACTGAGTCTCTGTGTGGAAGTGATAGCTTCTCCAGCCAAAAGAGGGTTATTTCATTCTTACTGATACATTCTCAAAGTTTCTGATAGTCTGTGATTTTAGAGAAGGAAATTGCTCAGTAAGAAAGCAAGAGTTACCTAAAATCATCTTTACAAGCACACTATTTCTTTGGGACAAATATTGTCTCTTGTTAATTTTGCAAGTGGCTTTATCTTTTTCTGTTATTTGAGCCTCTGATAAATGCCCCAGTAGATAATTACTTTCTCACTCTGAGGACTGTTTCCCTGGTCTAAATGTGAACGTAGCATGTGATTTCTTTTGTTTGTAGCTAGTATTGAATTAACCTGTTCTATTTTTTGCAATTCCACAAAGTGCACTAAACCTACAATTGCTTTTCTACCAACTAAATTTGAGAAAAATACTTGTAGATGAAAGTAGAAAACAAGAGGGACTTGCCAAAATGAGCCCCCCAAAGCTTCATGGTAATTACTTCTAAATCGCTTAAATGTCTAGGAGAAACTTGCATTTAAAATATTTTCCTAATGTGCTGGTGAGAGGGCAATGGAACATTTACTTTCATTGGTTGCAGGTAAGAGTTATTTAGTGACGCTCTTAGAAAACAAATAAGTATTATGTGGCTAGAGCCCAAATATGCTCACGTCCTTTGATTCTGTAATTATTTCAGGGATAGTCTTTTTCGTTTTAGATATTCAAAGAGGTTTGTAGTGATGCCTCATTATGATTTTAATTTACATTAACCTAATAATGTTGAGCATCATTTTATGTGTTGATTTGCCATTGTATGTTTTCATTGGTAGTGTCTGCTAAGATCTTTTGTTAGGAAAAGCTTTGTATGTGCTCATGGCGCGGGTGGAGAAAGATGCAGAAATTGAGATATATAGAAGTAAAACGTGTATTTTATCCTTTTTAGAGGAAAGAGAGAAAGAGGAAAGGAAGTTGGAGTGGCATCCCAAAGAAAGAGGAGGGGGTGCCAGCAGCTAGGCCATGATGATCATTCCCAGCAGCAACCTAGTAAAGATAATCTCATTATGGGGACACCCCATTATGGGAACAATAATCAAACTACTAAGGAGTGTATAACAGGGAAAAGTAAGGGAAGTAGAGTCATGCTATTAGCTCGTTGTCAAGTAACTTCTGCTATGAAAGGTACACACTGTCAAACTGCAAATAGTCCAGAAAGCCAAACACAGAAAGTCGACAGCAATGCTGTATCTCCAAGAGGTGGGTGAAAGTCTGATGTGATTCAGGCAGCTAACAATGGAGGGATGGGGGAGAGGCAGGGAAGGACTCCAAGCCATATATACCTTTCTGCACTTGCAGCTTTCAGCAGGAATTACCTGGCAGACAGTTATCTTCTGAAATCTGGGCAGTATATGCTCTTGCTTGGGTATTTTCCTCCCATACATGTGCCAATCAAAATCAAGTGAATACTCGAGGGGGACCCTCTACAGATCTTTGGAGTTCTTTCTCCGTGTGACGCTCTCCTCTCTGGCGGTCTTCTCTGTGTGCTCTAGCTCCCTCGGCTTTCCTGGATTCCCAGGTTCATCTCCTCAATTCAGAGAGACCAACAGGCACGTACTAGATTTATCTCCCCACTTATTGGCCTCAAAACTTTCTCTAAACAGAAAGCACGGGCAATTGTAAGGTTTTCTGTCTTCCAGGGATCACTGTCCTTCGATATTTGATATGTAATATCTTGAAAGCTGTTATTTCATGTGTTTTATACAGTGTTTTAATTGTTTCAGGTGGGAGGGTAAAGCCAGTCCCCATTATTTCATCTAGATCCAAAGCAGTAATCTCAGTTAAATAGTTGTTCTGCAAATGGGTACTTTCATTCTGGTGGGTCTTTAATGTGTGCAGTTGAGCCAATCTAATTAGGAGGTAGGCAAGGTGTGAAATTTATTGCTGTCATGCTCCTCCCTCAGTGGATAACAAGCTTCAGTGTCTTACCTTGTGCTTAGGGTGGGGACTGGTTTCCTAGAGGGTTTATCTCAGTGTCTGCTCCAACCTCAACCTTAGGTCTTCTCTGTTGGTATGTCTTAGAGAGGGTCTCTCCCCCAAGTTCTTGCCCCTCTCAGCAGTAGACTGCTGTTACCTGTTATTTGATATTTGCTATCCTGGTTATTGGATATAGACAGGTGGCATTCTCTGTTCTAATTAAGAATATTTCAGTCAACTATGTCCCTGAGTCTCATAGGTGGGGACTTCTCAGTGATCCAGCTTTGCTCCCCAGCTATAGGTACGAGCCCAACAAAGGTTTTATTTCCCTGCATGGTAAGTGTTTTTTGTTTTTTTTTTTCTCTCTTTTTCTTTCTCTTACCTGCAACAGGACTTCACCAAGGCCCTGAGTGTGTCAGAGGTTCATGCCATTTTCCCAGCAGCTGAAGATGTTTGTTTCATAGGAGATGTAGGGAAGAGGGATCCATTGAAGGGACTTCTTGCCTTTTCTACAGGAGCTTCTGTCCTCTTTCCCACCCTTCTCCACCATCTCCCCACCCACATTTGTCATACAAGAGATGCTTTCTCAGAGCTGTCACTCTGCCTCCGATCTTTTTTATGAGTACCCAGGGGAGTCCATGGAGGGGAGACTGTGGATGGATGTGAATTCCCCTTGTGTTCATGGCCTCAGAGAGTCCCATATTCTCTTTCTAGTCCACACTCAATCTTTAGCGATTTGTTAAAACTTTTAGCTGAAGTCTTCTTACCGCTGTCCAGCAGCCTCTGCTCCAGGTAAGCAAGTGCTCGCATCTCGTCTCTCCTTGGAGATGCCTGTCTCTCTTTAGATTTCAAGTTAGTTAGTAGCCCTGAAACCACAGGTTTTATAATAGATAAATTAAAGAAAATGTGTAAATTTGGAGATTGTCTGGCTTTCTTGTTGTTGTTGTTGTTGTTGTACGGGTGAGAGTGATACTCTCTCCAGCTTTCTACATCCTAAGTGGAAGTCAGAAGTATCTGTGATTTCACATTTATAGAAAAATTTAGAAGACTGATACAAAGAATTCCCATAAACATTTAACAGTTTCTTGAACGTTTAACATTTTATAGCATTTGCTTTATTATTCTCCCTTCCTACACACTTAAATTTCTCTTTCTCTATGTCTCTATGTCTAGAGATACATGTTATTTGCATAGATACATAGACACACATTTATACACACACATTTTTTGACCCTGAAGAATGGGTTATGTA